CAGGCTTAGGAGGATGCTGTTGTCTCCATCCGCGCAGGCACTGTCTCTATCCGAGCTGACATTTCTTCCCTGCGTACGGATGTCATGGCTGCACTGCGAGACATTTCCAGGGCCGCCGCGATGTCGATTTTGTTTTTGACCTTTCTCCCTCATCCGGACTCCAAATCAAGTGAAGTTTTTTTTGAAATTAATTAATTTTTCCTTTTCTATCTAACGGTGTGCTCGGTTATAACGTAGATGGGTTAAGTTCATGGAGGACTACGACTTTGAGTTACACTATCATTAGGGGAAGGCCAATGTGGTAGCCGATGCATTAAGTAGGAAGTCACGGAGTACTCTATATCAAATCCTACGTGGCATTTGCAACAACTATTTTTTACATAAGAAATTCCTCCAACCAATACTTCAAATGCCTACTTAGCATTTGACATACCATCAAATATCATCCATGGGTGCAAAGAGTATGGAATAAAAAAAATATATATATTCCTTTTAATGGAACAGAGGTAGTATCATTTAGATCCAATTTTATTTTTCTGTCACTAACACCGTTAAAAACGTGTAAAAAGACAATTTTACCCTTATTTTTTAAATTCATTTTAATCCAAAATATAAAAAGACAAAATTGCCCCATTAGTATCTCATTCTAATATATTTATTCCCTTTTTCATAGAAGGATAAAGTTGTCTCCATAATTTTTGGGCCGTATATTGTATGAAATGAACTTGTAACTCGACATTAGACTTGGTCTTGACATGATCCTTGACAGTAAATATAGTGTTGTTTCAAGCATTCTAAGAACAAAATTGAAGTTTTCTGGGATTGGCGGGGTATTATCGCAGGTTCATCCAGCATACATAGACATATGGATAGAATGAAATGATCAATTGGTGTCAGTAATATGCTGTCGAATTCAAAATAATTATCAGCACCATATGGCTTATTATAATACATTTACTAGGGATATGAGCGTGATGGCCTCAACTACTTTAGGGATCCTCCACCGACGCCTCCTCCACTTGCTTAAAGCCTTCAAGCCTCTGTTCTTCCAGTTTCTAAATCTTATGATTTTTCTTTTCAGACTTTAAATTTATGGCATGCTTGCCTTGGGTTTGTAAACTTTCAGTATTTATGTCTGCTTTTCCCTTCATTAATGATGCTCGAGCATTTGGGCCTTGCTGACTGTTCTGCTCTTCTTTGTTGTAATGCTCGAGCCCAAGTGTAGAGGGTATTTTTGGTATTAATAGTTCATCACTTACTCCACTATCCTTTCTCTCCCTATCTTCTCAAATTGGGAGAGAGAGCAAATGATGGATAGCTTTCTCCTGGGTTCAAATCTAGGCAGGACCTGCACAGATTTTTGGACTTCAAATGTGATTTTGAGGGCTTAAACCACATTTTTTTAGAACAGGTTCATTGACAACAGGATTCTCGTGGGTAGGAATTTCTTGAATTACCTGTACTTCAAGACATTTCTCAAGATATTATTATGGAAGAACAGGTAAATCAAGAAATTCCCATTGCAGGTTGTGTGAATGATTAGGTAGCATTTAAGGGTAAGCCTTGCAAATAATATCTTGAGAAAAGCCATGCTCTAAATGTTAAATCTAAGGTGTTTTGAAAATGAATCTTGCCATTGATGACGTTTTGAAGCTTTGTATATATGGGTTATGTGGAACCCCAACACCATTGACCTGGATGTTGTACGCACAACCAAGCAAGCAATACACTATTCCATCACCATTATAGGCCAAAATATCACATTTTACTCTTCCTTTATCTATGGTTCTAACTATGCAGTGGAAAGACTCTCTCTGGGGTGATATTAACCATCATTCCACTCTCTTTAGCACCATTTCATTTTAGGTTTCGCATTTTGGCTTAATTTATTGCATTTCTAGGCATTTTTGGCCGTTGAGAGGTCATATTTTGCATTGGGGTTCTTTTGTGGCCGCGGACCATTGGGACGCGTCTTGAATGTCATTTTACACTTGCATGTATGTTCACATCATCACACATTAGCATATATTTCAATTTGATCATGCCATGGGGGATTCAAATAAGACTTAGGGTCTTTTCTTCATTTTTGGTGCATACCATTTCATTCTAGGTTTCGCATTTTGGTTTCATTTATTGCACTTCTAGGCATTTTTGGCCGTTGAGAGGTCATATTTTGCATTGGGGTTTTTTTGAGGCCGCGGACCATTGGGACGCGTCTTAAATGTCATTTTACACTTGCATGTATATTCACATCATCACACATTAACATATATTTCAATTTGATCATGCCATGGGGGATTCAAATAAGACTTAGGGTCTTTTCTTCATTTTTGGTGCATAACAGGTTCATATGCACATTTTCAACCTATTTCGGTCGACCGATGGCTAGTTTCGGTCGACCGGTTCTTTGTTCATATCAATTGAACAGTGCAAAGTCCAAATCCAGTAGCCATTTTCACTGTTGAGACTCAGGTGTTTGCCGCTTCACAGTTCAATGTGGAGAGGTCAGTGTGTGAGCCCTTGGTTAAAATTAAGACTTTTTCCTAACTCTTTGACAGGGGCAGCTTTTTCATAGTATTCGTTTACCCTGATTCCTCCTCCTCAGATTATCCTGGGTGGTTAAGTACATTCATGTTCATGGTTTTTAATAAATCATTGTGAGCTTTTAATGTTGTTAAGTACATTCATGTTCATGGTTTTTAATAAATCATTGTGAGCTTTTAATGTACTCCTTAGTTAACTTGGAAGGTGAGGAGATGGTTATTTTTGAGGAAGAGAAGAGGGATGAAGAGAAAATGTTTCTTGATATTCCAAATGAGTCTTTGAAAGACAATGCCTGACTGGATATAAGAATCACTTCAGATGAAACTGGTTCCTAGAAGGACCATAATTGCAGATATGGAAGCACATATGCATGGATATAGTGGAGAAAAAAAATTTGTGTCACCAACGCCAAATTTCACTGAAGCAGTGCTTCAAGATGATGGAAATTTTGTAGTTAGAGATGTTATAAATCCATTTAAAATATATTGGCAGAGTTTTGATCACCCAACAGATACATTGCTGCCTGGTGCAAAGCTTGGCATTAATAAACATACCGGCAAAACTCAGGTCCTAACTTCGTGGAAAAATGGAGATGAGAACTTTAATTAAATCATGCTAATTTAAATCCCAACTCTCGGTCCATGCAAACTGTCATTTCATCGGATAGAACTTGTTTGTGGGCCTGACCCACTCCTATTTTACAGGTGTACGTCAGTTCCAGGCTTGAGCTTATTCGTGTGGAGCAGAGACGGTCACTCATTCTCCCGACGATGTAGGATCTCTTTCCAGATGTTTGACTTGGATTTTATCTTCAGTTTTACTTTGATTCAGTTTGGGATTTTTATATTAGGGGTCCACTAGAGATGGATTCCCGAGTTGTTAAAAGATTGGAGTTTTGCGGCGATGTGCCGGCATATGTGCCCATACCTTATTCCATTCCTTCATTCCAAACTTTGGTGATTCATCACATGATTCCTCTTTTGGACCTACCACAAAACCTTGCAGCTCTAACAGTCTGGTAATCATACTCTTTGCACTCAGGATGATGATCCATGACTCTTTGCACTCACTTAAAAACAGGACTAAAGCATTTAGAACACCTTCCAGACTATTACTTTGTCTGTGACGTCCCGATGCTCCATTTCATCGAGACTTTTAGATTTTCGGGCCTTCGATGATATTAATTATAGCACATCAACTTTGCCTTTAGGTTTCAGTTTGAAACCTTTCAACATCCGTCTCCAAGTTCCGGCAAGCATATACAGTATGCTAAGGCAGGCAAGCACATACAATATACTAAAGCAACAACCATATATATTATACTAAGATAGTTAAAGTAAACTTCTAAACATATGTCCACATAAGCACGTAAACATGTGATCATATTCAACATGTTATCAAGAAGCAAATAAAAACATAGAGCATGACAACACAAGCATGATATGTACCCAAAACCGATCGTCTTAAGATTTTCGAACCTAAGAGCTCTGATACCACCTGTGACGACCCTGGATTTTACAAACCCAGTGTGTCCTGTGATGACCCGAAACGGATCCAAAATGCGGAAGCTAAAAAGAAACATGGCCTTTAGAGATGTATATCATCCTTAAGACACAAAAGTGACTTCCTGAGGTAAAATTCATGAATATTGGGTTTATTCATGTATGTATATCATGATTCTTGTTGCTTAGACTCTAAGGTAGCTTAGGATGCTCCCCGAGTTTCACTTGGACATAGACGTTAGGTAGCATGAGCCCCTTTAACATGTTTCACCTTAAGGTGATAAATTTGTAAAATGCTAGGTCGATGCATGCTCATCTCCTACGAGTAGCTTTATGTTACTCACCCCTACGATACTGGGGCATATTTCAGGTACGAAGACTTGGTTCGTGAAGCCTAGCATTGTGGCCGCGTCGATATAAAAAGCAGCACACGCAGAAGGCTCACAGAGGCGCGTGCAGGCGCATCCACGCGCCTGACAGTGTGTTTTAGCACGTGGAAGCGTGTGCTGAAAGTGGAGGCGCGTTTGGCGGTGTGTGGGGGCGCGTGCGAGGGTGTTTGAGGTTCCGGTAAGGTCCTGTGAGTTTGCAGATTTAATTTTAAGTCTTTGAATGTTGAAATTAGCCACTAGAGGTGGTATTCCTAAGGTTTTGGAGAGCCGTTAAGTATTACTAAATATATAGTAGCAGTTATTTATGTAAAACAATTATTTAATAATTGATTACGGATGAGGGGTATGTATATATATATATATACAATTGTTTATATATATATATATAGGGATATGGTTTAATTAATTTGTGATCAGTATGGAATGAAGTGAATATATATATATATATATATATATATATATATATATATATTTAATTAAAATCTAATTAAGGGTTCCATTGGCCTAATTAAGTGTTTAACTCCAAGCATTCCTAATGAAGGAATTGACACTGGCATTCTCACAGGCAGCTGAATGGGGGACCACAGGCAGGACAGGGTCAGCCACCGGCTAACCGATTCAAAAAGTTCGAGCAAACGCCCACGACATACATGTCTTGACCAGGTATGGTAAACACAATAGACCAATCAAAACAATTAACTTGGGATGGATTGGTTGACATGAACCTAGATAAACTGAGGCAGTTTGTTTGCAATAGCTGTAGCTAAACAAATTAATTTGAAATAATTTACCAATAACCAGATAGATGGGGAAGAAGGAAGAAGAGGAGGGGGGGAGAAGAAAAATAAAATTTGATAGACACCTTTTACAAACAAAAAGGCATAAATCAGCAAAACTGAATTGCCAAAGAAAAATTAATAGACACCTTTTACAAACAAAAAGACAAATCAGCAAAACTGAATTGCTAAAGAATATTTGAGTGTGCACAACACTGCTTACTTATGCATTCATTAAACTTTCCCTTGAGTTCCATTGAATCAATATTTCTTTCAAGGCCCAATCCAGAAAAGCAAGGAACAAAACTTTAGTTTGATTGAATCAGAAAGATGAAGACACATTGGTTTTGTTGTGGGAAGCCAACACAAATCACGGGTGGAGATATAATACCATTGTATACACCAAGATACACCAAAACAAACAGACACTTACTAAAACACACATAATTTACTTAACTATAATTTACTTATCAAAAAAAAAAAAATTTACTTAACTATAATTTAGAACCACAATAAAATCTTATTTTAGATAGAATTTCAGGAAGTAGAGAGAATAAGAAAGAAAGATGGGAGAAGAGGCTCCACTTACCAATCGGGTTTTTTTTTTTTTTTTTCCCCCTTTTATTGGTTGCTTCCAGGTTTAAATGGTCAACAATTATTGTGGCTTCTAAACCTCTTAATCTGAAATATTCTGGTGTGAACCTGAATATCCCAGAATTGTGATCCCTTGAAATTAAAATAATGGTCCTTCAAAAACTTTCTCGGGTCTCTTGCAACCCCAGCTTACATTTGTATCCAAGAAGTGTGGACACTTCTAAGGAAGTGATGCATTCATATTGACAATCGACACTTCTTGGATACTTTCAAACACGTGTCTCACACATTTTTGCATTGCGTCTAAAATTTAAAAATAAATTTTGCACTTGCTAACATGTTTAATGAACTTTATACTACATTATATGACACGTTCTTTTAGTATGGAAAAGAAAGAATATTTGTAAGGTAGAATAAACTTAACGGTTTGGTGTTCGAAGGCCCTCTCATGGTGGCCTTTTTTGTTTGGACTGCGGCTTGGGGTAAGATTCTTACTATGGACAATTTGAGAAACGGAAGACAAATCACAATGAACTGATGTTGCATGTGTAAAAATGATGGAGAGTCAGTGGATCACCTTCTTCTGCATTGTTCAGTGGCTTATGATTGATGGAGTCTTATTTTTGGTCTCTTTGGCATCCATTGGGTTATGCCTCGGTCTTCAAGGGAGTTGATTGACGTTTGGAAGGGCCAGAGGGTAGGAGCCCATGCTTGTCACTGTTGGAGGGTGACCCCCCTTTGTGTTTGTTGGAGCATTTAGAAATAGCAAAATAAAAGATCTTTTGATGGGGAGGAAACCTCCATTGGGGCGCTGAAATTTTCTATTATTAGTTCTCTTTTTGGTTGGGTGAAGGGGAGAAATTGTATATCTTTAGATGAGATTGAGGAATTTTTGGGTTCTTTGGGTCCATAGGGTTTTATTTTGGTTTGGTTCTTTGTTTTTCTCTTGGGATGCTTTCCCCTTTTGAACACTTTCTAATACATTTTATTTATATATAAAAAAAAGATAGTAATTAGTATCCTTTACATTTATATCTCAGAAGTTCCCAACTCTTAATGTTTTCTCCAATTTATTTTACTCTTGATTTAAACTTTTTGACTAAGAATACACTTTTTATTATTTGAGATCACACGATTTTATGATTAATTGCTTTCTTGTGTGCATAGTTGCTGATCACTTTGTGCTGGTTGCACTCTGGTTTACTAGATTGCATGGTTTGATTTGGAATAGATCAGCCATGTTGAATATCTAATTTAAAATAATGCATTAAACCCATCTATGCTAATAACAATGGGAGTAAATTTCTAAAAAACTGTCTTATTATTATGTCCCCACTAAGTTTAGCAGCAATGACTTGTTAGTCTGCTAGATGTTGTGGGGATTAGCCGATTGTACTTCATGTACTAAGCATGTGGTAACTTATCAAAAAATGTACTAAGCATCTTGTTGTGTTCTGTAAAGAGAGCCTCATGTATATTGAACCAGAAAATAATGTGATATTACGAACACTGCGAACCAAGAACAAAAACAAGAATCATGACAGAAAAAGTAAACATGCCACGTGCAAAGAACACAAAGATTTACATGGTTCGGCTTTAGTCTAAGCCTACGTCCACAGTGAAGATCCGGCAAAAGATTTCACTATGCGAAAAACAGGAGATTACCAGTTTCAACCCCCAAACCCTAGCTCTCGATCTCACTCTCTTTCCTGCAATTTTCAGTGGCTCTCATTATCTCACTCCAAACCCTAAGCGCCCTTTTGTACCGGCCTACAAGTGAGTACTAAATAGGGTCCACGACTCGCAAGTAGCTGCTCATTGCTATATGAACTTCAAGCTTTTACCATGATGTGTTCTAGAAATTGGGATTCTAGACCCGAGAAAGGTTCCAGAATACTTCCACTGCTTTAACTTTTAGTTTGCTCACTATAGTACTGAACTTTAAGCTTTTTTACTTATAAAAAAAAAAAAATCTATATGAGTTGAAAGACCGATAAATTGGGGTACTAGTGTATAGGGATGAGCTCAGTACTATAGTGTTTGCGATCATCTTCACAATGTGTGGAGCTTGCATTCAAGCATCATTCATGTTGATTTTGCAAGATCGAGCTTGTTTGTGACTTGTGAAGAAGCAGCAATAATTGGAAGAGTCCTGAAATAGAAACTTTAACATGGTAACAAAACTTATGCTCATGTGCTGCTGTTTTTATTTTATTTCAGTTAGTATTTTCTTTTTCTCCATATATGAGAATAGGGGAGAACTTTAACACCTTGTGTAACGTCAACTTACTTGTTTCTCGAACTACGTATAGACTCAACATTTCATTTATAGGAAAATGCTAGTCTCTGCACAATGTCATGTAAATTGAATGGTTATAATTATGTTGCATCACTATCATTCCAATTCGTATAAAGCTGCTCAGGTGATCGTTTTATGCATTGTTGGATTTGTGCAGCTCAATGGCTCGCCATAGCGAAGGGCAATCATTCGGCTATTCCACTGCTTAGATGGGCAAGTTTCAAAGAATTTCTAGATTCTGTTCCTCATTGTATGTGATCTCCAGTGGAGGCAATGTAAGCTTACATTTTACTTATTTGACATGAGTATCCAGTCCCCAGTTGTCAGTATGTAATTTAGGATGTTACCTGTATCTCCATTTCACAGATCTATCAAAAGTATCTATATTGCCAAGATTTATTTTGTCTTCTTTTGTAAGAATTATTTTATTTTAGAGTTAATTGTTATTTTCTTTGGTTATATTACCGCAGGGGTATTATTGTATTTGTCTCCTTTCTAATAAAAATATATGGCAAGGTGAAGGGACAGACTGATTTCGCATCATACCCTAAACCTCTTCTCTGATCAGTTTCTCTTCTTCTCTCCTCTGACTTCTCACCTAACCCTTCTCAGTTTTTATACTCTTTAACTTCTTTAATTGTAACTAGACATCGAGATTGATATTTGGATAATCAATTGATATCAACCTGCAGTATAAGATCATGGAAATATGTGCAGTATTATTGTTGTTGCAAGTCTTTCAGCATTCTAGACAAAAAGTTCTGTATAACAACCAGAATGCCTTTCTGTTTTTATGCTCTTTCAAATTGATATGTCGAAATCTTGTTCCAATCTCTGTCCAGTTTTTGAAATTAGGAGAGAAGATATGTAAAATAAACAATTTAACAGATGGAACCTCATTTACGAGACACCTAGAATTATGATTTTATTGGAGGGGTCCTGTAATATCACGTCTGTTCGATGACAATTCTGGCCTTGTAGTTCAACCATATTCTCGCTACACCTGATTGTGAGAAGTTAGGATCATAAAGCTCTTTTACCAAATCTATATTACGGTACATCGCAGCATTGTCGTGTGGTCTTTTTGGTATTTAAATTTTCGTAAGCATTTTACATCTCATAAGTGACTCCTTGTTGCTACCACTTGCTTGTTCTTCAGGTATAAATTTTAATTCTCAATTAACTACTCACCAAACAGGCCCCATCAATAGTTAGGCTTCCATCCCTAGCTGCAATTTCAAGACTCGTGTCTTGAATCCTATCCATCGGCAGAGGCAGCATTGGCCAGCTGCCCCCCTCCCCCAACCCGCAAATTCTTTTTCCATCTTATATTTAAGACTTTATAAAATTTTACAAAATGCGTTACCTAATTAACAAATATGCCCTTCTTTATTTACACAATTGTTAATTTACTTCACTTATCAAATTATTATTTTTTAAATTAATTAATTCCACCCTTTACTTTCTTATAACCCAAAAAATGTCAAACTATTCCCCCCTCTTGATATATATGATTTATATTTACACACACACATACCGCCCAAGATTCCCCTTCCGGTGGCTCTCTCTCTTCCCCCCCCCCCCCCCCCCCCCGCCGCCCCCCCCCCCCCCCCCCCCCCCCCCACACACACACACACACACACACACACATCCCTCCCTCCCTATCTCTCTAAGTTGTGAAGATCTGTCCTCATCTTCACTTTAATCTCTTGGGTATATGTGTAATAACAGACAATCCCAGGGTCATTGATGTCATGTCGCCTTTGAACTTTGAAGCCTCTCTCATCTGCAACTCAATTTCCCTCCTGTCCCTTCTTTCCAGTTTGATACAATTTTTGAATAGATAAAACCCTAGAAATTCACTAATTCTTCTATCTAATATTCCAGTTCTTGAAAATGTAGATTTTAGGGTTAAGAACTTAATATTAAAGCTCAGTTTGGTTGCTAAGAAAATATAATTGAAGAAAAAGATTCTCAAAATTTGAATTTTCATTAAAACAAATGTAGATTTCAGGGCTAATATAAAAGCTCTTCTTGGTTACTGTGAATTTTCTTTTATGTTCTAAGCAAATGTTGATGTTAGCCTCAGTTTAGTTTAGGGTTTTGTTTTTGCTTATCATAAATTATTGGATTTGTGATATTTAAGCTCTAAATTTAGTTTTTGTTCCAATATACCTTTCTCTATAATTTTGATGATAATTGTATTGTGTGCTTGTTGTTGAGATGTGTTATTCTATAGATTTATACACTTTGTTGTTAATAATTTAGAATGAAATCTGTTAATTTAATTCAGGAAAAAGATGCATTTTTTTTGCCCCTTGAATGTTAAAATAACATGCTATTAAATCCTTCATTCTTGTTTTTTTTTTTTAAAGTGCATAAACCCCAAATGACTAAAAGTACCCTTACAATATAAATCATATAATATATATAACAAAACAGATAAAATATATACATGCATATATTTTTTAACTGTACACAGTATATATATATATATATGTGCAACTCTGTCTCTCTCTCTTCGTTTTTTTGCAGCCCTCTCTTCCACTTCTTTCTCTCTCTACAGAACTACCACCACCGCTGGCATCAAAACCGCCACCACTGCCGGCGTCAATCTTCTTCTTATATGAGAACCCTAACTCTGTGTAGTGCATCTATATACATTATATGTTTGTCTGTATGTGTATATATATATGTTCGATGATATACATTTATATGGTTTGATGATTTCACCTCCTTTTTTGGTGAGGCCTTTGTTGACTAAATCTCAGCAATTCTGAACCCATCAAACATGATCCAACAACGCATCTATAGAAAAGAAATATATATATTGGGATTTAAACCACTCTCATTGAATACCAATTTGTTCGATTTGATTTTGTTTTTTGGCTTAATACCTTTGGTTTCATTTTTGGCACCATACCCAGAAGCCAAATCCAGATCTTCTAAAACTTGATCAAATAAAGTGTTATATATACAAGAAGAGAGCAGGAGCATTAAAAGGTACGGGAGTCAAAACCCATCAAACCGACCTAACAACAGATTTATAAGAAAAAAACTTTATATTGGAATTCAAACCAATCTCATTGAATATCAATATGTTCAATTTGATTATCTTGTAAATCTTATATATATATATGTGCGTGTGTGTGTGTCTATGTTTACACACACAAGAAGAGAGCACGGGCAGAGAGAGAGTGAAGAGAGATGTTGTGGAGAGAGATACTGTTTTGAGAGAGAGAGACTGAAGAGAGAGAAAGGATAGAGAGAGAATTATTATTTTTTTTCTTGCTTACATCAGCAGTGAGGGCATTTTGGGGTTTTTATAAATATTGGCCAAAATTGATAATCAGGGGGCAATTTGCTCCAATGTTGATAATCTTGGGATTTATATGCACATAATAGAAATTTGGGGTGGTTCTTGCACGTTTTTTATATAGCTGAGAGATTTTTTGCACTTCATCCTTTTTTATTATTTTATTTTATTTTTTTTATCTTATTTCTGTTCAGTGCTGCCCCCTTCAAATATTTTTCTGGCTTTGTCACTGATCCTATCCTTCCCAGTTCAGTTCAATCACAAATAAGAAACTACAAGTCAGCTGGTCCTGGGATCGATGTCCAATATCCCTAAATCCCCAATTTGACATTTAAGGATCTCACTAGGAAAAAATTTTCTGAATCATTTGCCATGTTGTTCGTTCCAAAACAGAACTGTGAGAATTATAAAATTCTGATAAACATGAATTTGAAGTTAGACTGGAGTTTCCTTGATTATGTTGATAATTAAAGAGGAACTCTAAGTTTTACAAAATTTCTAGTAGATGGTCCAACATAAATAGATAGTGTCAGAAGGAACTTCCTAGATGTGAATTCTTTTGTCACCCATTGAAAGCTTATCAGATATTATTGAAAATAAGCTTCAATCTCACTTCACAATGAATTTTTTTGGCTCTACTCTTTTGCCGAAAGAATGAGTGAGAAGGAATTGAAAATGCAAAGATTTAGAAAACTAAAAGTTTCCCTTTGTTTTCATTTTTTACACAAAAGAGAAAAGCTCTCTTGTCGTCATTTTTCATATCTTCTGTTATGCTACAATCCGTTTCAACATCATTACTTGTAATCTGATGTAGTGCCAACACGGCAGCCATGTCAACACCATATGGATGACTAGGTGGCTTCATTGGAAGATCAAGAGTTGTCTTCAAAAGTGGCTTAGAATATAAGACTTTTCTACCCAATTACTTTTATTTATATTTTTTAGTATTTTGGGCTAGTAAGTTGTGTTTAATTTAAAATTACCAGCTTTTTGTTTTGTTCTATAATTGGGAGATGTAATCATCATTAATGTGAAGTAGAAGATGAAGACTTATATCTCAATCCATTGTATTCTTTGGTTTGGGATGCTCTTAAATATCTCAATCTTAGCTTAGAGGATTTATTATCTGTGTTTGCTACTTGATGCTGTGGATGTAATCTTTGGTTTTCCTTAGCATTTATTGGAAATGGGCTTATTCTAGCTCCTGACTTGTAAAAGGAGGTATATTTCCGTATGTACTTGTAATTCTTCTTTTTATTGTTTTATAAATTTACACCATTCAGGAGGAAGAAAAAAAAAAAAAAAAAAAAAAAAAAATGATGAAGACTTAAAACTATAGATGTTGGAAATGGAGATGTAACTTTGAACCTTGAATTGTATTTGATAATTGATATTATAGAGTATAGCTCTTGTTATCCAACTCCTTATCTTGGTTATATCTTCTTGTTCTATATTCATCTTCCTCCCTCTTATCCACCCGTATCATAATCTCTTTTTAAGTTACTTAGACATCTTCAGTCTGTAATAGGTGCCGTACTTTCTTTCATTTCCCATTTTTTCTCTTGTTTTCACGTCCCAAACTTATGGCATGGTTAAGTTTCATGATTTTGTGTTGGATAATTGTAGAGTTTAGGTGACTAATCCAACTAGTTAGAAATCGAATCATCCAAAAAGTTCTTATTTAATGTAATTTGCATTATTGTAAGTCGTATTAAATTGGATGAAAGTCAAGGTTGTTTTTATCTTAGGGATGGAGTTGGTTATCTTCCTTGGATGTGATGGACTGCTATGATTATTTTCTAACTCATTTCTTATTTTTGACCTTGGCTAATTCTGATTTATTATAACTTTACATATACTTGTTACCATTTTATTTGAGGAAATAGTTTATCGAGACTATCCTTTGGTTCAGATAGAGTTGCTCAAGTACTAGTCATGTAAGAGGGTTCTCATATATTAGAGAAGCCAAAGACGAGAAGAATAATAAAACTACAACTTTTTTTAATCTTTGGAAGAAGCGATTGAAGAAGAAGAAAAGGCACTAAATCTTTACTTAAATCTGCAAAGAAGTTATTACATTATTTGGGTTTTATTATGACTTCAAGACGCATGGAACAACTGTGTTACCACTGTCTTAGTTGGG